TGCTTGCTGAAAGTGCTTACTGATGAAGATCAAAGCCTTTGGTATGGTTGTCACTTCAATGTAAAGAAAACAAAATCCTCACCAATGGACCAATAAATAACATCAATATAAATATGGAGTAAAGATTAAAGTTCTCAAAGACTTCATTTTGCTTGGATCAACCATCAATACTCATGGAAGCAGCAATCAAAAAATAAAACAAGCTCTTTCCTGTTCCGCTCAGCCATGGCTCATGGTCCCAAGAAGCTTCTTAAGTGTGTGGCTGCCCCGAAGCATTGGATGCTGACCAAACTGACTGGTGTGTTTACTCCATGCCCATCCACTGGCCCCCACAAACAGAGAATGCCTCCCACTGATCATTTTCTTAAGGAACAGACTTAAGTATGCCCTGACAGGAGATGAAGTTTAAAAGATCTGTATGCAGTGGTTCATTAAGATTGATGACAAGGTCTGAACTGATATAACCTATCCTGCTGGTTTTATGAATGTTATAGGCATTGAGAAAACCAGAGAAATGTTCCGTCTGGTGTATGACACCAAAGGTTGATTTGCTGTTCATATTACACCTGAGTAGACGAAGTACAAGCTATGCAAAGTACGAAGAAAGATCTTTGTGGGAACAAAAGGAACCCACCATCTGGTGACCCATGATGCTCGCACCGTATGCTACTCTGATCCCCTCATCAAGGTGAATGATACCAATCAGATTGATTTGGAGACTGAAAAGATTACTGATTTCATCAAGTTTGACACTGGTAACCTGTGTATGGTGACTGAAGGTGGCAACCTGGGAAGAATTGGTGTGATCACTAACAGAGAGAGACATCCTGGCTCTTTTGATGTGGTTCATGTGAAAGATGCCAGGGGCAATAGCTTTGCCACCCGACTTTCCAACATCTTCGTTATTGGCAAAGGCAACAAACCATGGATTTCTCTTCCCTGAGGAAAAGGTATCCATCTGCCTTACCATTGCTAAAGAGAGATAAGAGACTGGCTGCCAAACAGAGCAGTGGGTGAAATGTTCTCTAGGTGATGTGAATGAACAAATCTTCATATAATTAAAGATATTAAACACACACACACACAAAGAAATACAATGATATATTGCATTAGGCAAAGCTGTTGCACAATACCTCTTGCAATTGTAGAGGAGCAAAAATGTCAGTTTGAGGACTAAGGTGCACCTGATCCAAACCATGATATTTTCAATAACATCATATGCATGTGGGAGTTAAACCATGAATAAGGAAGACTGTAAAACAATTGATGCATTTGAGTTGATGGTGTTGCAGGAGAATGTTGAAAGTACCATGGAACACAAAAGAACAAACAAATCTGTGTTGGAAGTACAGCCAGAATGCTCTGTAGAAGTCAAGATGGCCAGACTTGGTCTCTCATACTGTGAACATATTATCAGGAGGGACCAACCAGCCTCTGGAGAAGGACATCAAGCTTCTCCAGAAAATGTGGAGGGTTGTTGAATAAGAACAAGACCTCTAACAACATGGATTGGCACAGTGATGGCAGCAATGGTCTCAAGTGTAGCAAAGATTGTAAGGGTGGCACAGGACTGGGCAGTGTTTTTTCTACTGTGCATAAGGTTGCTATGAGTCAGTACCCACTCAATGGCACCTAACAACAAGAAGGGTAAATATCTCCAGGTCTCACAATTCTCCCAGGTAACACTGCTGATTTCTACTGGGACCTGTACTGATCACTGTGGTATAGTGAATTATAATGTCTCTTAAAGTCATTGTCTTTGTAAACCTCTACCATATAACTTTTTGCCCTGATGAGTTTGGGTAAGTAAGGTGGGAGAAGATGCTCACAAGATTATATGACTCAGTTGGGAGAGGATAACATGTTTAACCGTGATTGTAAAAACCCGAAACTCTGATGTGTATAATAAAGTAAGCCATCTCATAAAGCAGGAATGGGGGAATCTCACTACTATCAAAGAAGAAGAGCCAAGAGTGGAGCGCATCCTTTGGATCCACAGATCCCTGCCCAGTGTATCCTCCTTGATCCAGGGACAGCAAGCTATGACACCAGAGAAGCAGTACAGGAGAGGCAGCAACAGAACCACAAGTCAGAGTATGAATCAGAGAAGCGAGCTTCCCAGCTCACAGAGCAAGTAAAGCTGAGTGACTTTGGGCAGGAAGCATGCTTGCAGAGTGAAGTGTCTCCAGGCACTTAATTGAAGGGACTCCGTTTGCTGAGTCCTGGAAGCTGGAGCTGACTGCCTTTAAATTAAGGCTTACGGTGGAGTGGTGTGTCCTTTGGTCATTTTTCAGCAGAGAGAGACCTGCCTGTAGGCATGGCTGAGAAGAAGCTGTCCTGACTAGAAAAAGCATGCCCTGAGCATTTTTTGATCCTGTTAACTTCTCTAATAAACCCCATAACGTTGAGTATTCTGAGTTTTGTGTGGCCACTGAAATGAATTATTAAGCCCAGCTGTCTAAAGAGTATTGTGGGAGGGTGGTTTGGAGACATTTGTTGCAGTAATCCAACCTACTTGATATGGCCAGCTCCAGAAGTAGTAAGCTGCTCATCATCTTCAGGGTTGAAAGTAACCTTAAAAACTTCCTGGGAAAAAGCTTTTGTTCTCAGTATGGGCTGTTCGTTTTTCCAGTTCCAGATGGTGAATGTATAATCAGGACTGCTACTAACAGATGCCAACAAGGTGCCATTATAGTTAAAGTCCACATAGGCATATCCCAAGTCACTCCCATCTGGAAGGATGAATGAGTCTCATCAATAAGGGAAACATTTACTTCATTTCACAGGTGTATTTACAAAAATATAAAATAAAAAAAAAATTGAAGCAAGGGAGAAGGAGGGAAGGAGAAGGATCGAACAATCATGTTATCAGCCAAGGTTCTTCAAAGAAACAGACCAAGTAGGAGATATATAAGATCGATTGATCGATATTTTATCTTATAAATCTTCTATTTATTCTGTTTCTCTGGAAAACCTGGCTGATACAATAGTGTCTTATCTTCAGAATTTTTAACTTGAACATGGAATATTCTAAAGATTCTGCTGAACTCACCTCGAAGGATTCTGTAAGGCCTCAGAGAAGGATATTCATAGATGATGATATTTGGAAAAGATCCATTTTCCGCTACTGTGAAGTGAGTTTTATGGGGGTGAACCTATAAAAAAAAAAATTAGTACTCACTGAAAGTTATTAAGTTTGGCGCTGTGGGCTAATGCGTCAGACTACTAAGTCATTTGAACTTCAAGGTCAGTGGTTCAAGCTCACCAGCTGCTCCTTGGAAACACTATACAGGATCGCTATGGGTTGGAATTGACTCGACAGCACTTAACAACAATTAATGAGATATTTAGCATCTATGTTTTCATTTTGTTTATTAGGATGAACTACAAGAAGCTATGGTAGCGTAGTGGTTTTGAGTTGGTCTGCTAACCTCAAGGTCAACAGTTCACAACTACCAGCAGTTCCTTGGGAAAAAGATGAGGTTTTCTGCTCCTGTAAAGATTTACAGCCTCGGAAACCCTATACAGGGTTGCTATGGGTCGGAACCGACTCTCCAGCACTTAGCAATAAAAACAACAATTAAAAAGTAATACAGTACTGGGTCTCACATACATTGGAAGAAGGATAGCATGCTTGATAGAGGCTCAGTAATAAAGAGCAAATCTCTCAACAGGATGGACTGACACATGGCTGCCAAATGGACTTAGACACAGCAATGACTGGGGTGATGGTACAGGACCGGGTTGTGTTCCAATTTTTCCTACACTGTGTCACTATCAATTGGAATCAACTTGATGGCACCTAACCACTACAAAACAAGGCTCAAAGGGGGCAGCTGAGAAATACTTGATGATGGGTGGTTTAAACTAAAAACTAGAAGAATTCTCATTTTACATCTAATTTTCATTAAGACAATTATTTCTAGGTCTAAAATTTTAAAAATTGCCATTAGGTAAATAAGAACAGCAGTTCCAATCCTTCAGTGTGTGTCAAAGATTGGAGGGTTTGTTGAAATACAGATTGCTAAGTCTATCCCCAGAGCTCCTGATTGAGTTGATCTGGGTGGGTTAGGACCCTCAGAGAATCCACATTTACATTTCTAAAAGATCCCAGGTGAGACTAGTGTTGCTTGTCTGGGGACAATGCTTTGAGAACCACTGAGCTACATGAATTCTTCACCCTGCATTATCAATCAAGCTAAATTACTGTCTTAACATGTAATGTTTACAGAGTAGGTAACATCCTAATTTTAAAAATGTCACCTTAGACAAGCGTACCACAAACAAATGTAAATGAGAAACATAGAATGCTACCAAACCAGCTATAGAGAAAAATAGAGTAAATATGGCCTGTATAAACTCTTTGTGCAGCATTTAAAATGACAGGCACATAAATTGGATAAAACTATGTTCATTTCTGTTATCTTTGTTCATTGATAATTATCTTTGTCCAATACACAAAATGCATAAATGCCTAGCTAAAAAGTAAATATAAAAATGTTGTTAAATGCCGTAGAATCGGTCCTGACCCATCATGACCCTGCATAGGGCTTTTGGGGAGCAGCTGGTGAGCTTTAACTGCCGACCTTGTGGTTCAAATCGATTTACAATCCAGTGCGTTAATCCACAACGCCACACCAGGACTCCAAATATAAAAACAGGCTTTTATAAAAATAAGCTATTTAAAACTTATATTCTACTTCTAGAATTCTGTAACACCTGTTTGTATGTATAAGGACAAAGAGACTTGGTTCTCAGTTATAGATTGCACTGGAAACCTGTATCCAAGATACGGTCCTTCACACATAGGGTCATAAGGCTTCCTACTGGCAAGCTTCTGCTTATTCTTCTATTCAAGTAAATCTTCATCACTTCAGTTTGATGCAAGGTGTTGATTTTATAGGATGATAAACACTTAGCTAGATAATACTGCTGATAACAGCTGACATGTTGAGTGTGTACTGTATGCCACTGGTCTAAGTTTTATAAGAATAGTAAGCTATAAAGTTCTCTTACATTTCACATCAAACTTGTGAGTTCAGATTATCACCCCGTGTTATTGATGGGTACATAGAGGCACAGAGACTTTAACTTGCCCGAGGTCATACATAGCTGGAGCCAAGAAGCAAAGTATATTAAAAAATAATTGATCCCTAAAATGTAGAGTCCTGGTGTGGCGCTGTGGGTTAATGAACCAGATTGCAAAGCCATTTGAACTGCAAGGTCGGCGGTTCAAGTTCACCAGCTGCTCCTCAGAAACTGTATAAAGGGTTTGCTATGGGTCAGAACCAACTCAACGGCACTTACCAACAACAACAAGACAGAGTGAAGGATTATGTACCTATCTGTCTATATTCCAACTTCCAAAGCAATTTTGCAGAGGATAGCTCTGGTATCGTAGTGCTAACGAATGGGGCTACTAACCACAAAGTCAGCAGTTCAAAACTACCAGCTGTTCCACGGGAGAAAAATGAGGCTTTCTGCTCCTGCAGCCTTGGAAACCCTGTACAGGGTCACTATGAGTGAGAACCGACTCCATGGTACTTAACAACAAATGTGGTCACAGAAATCTGGAGAATCATGCAAATCATTTACCCTTTCAGGAGACTGGTCATGTCTACTTTCAATGAAAAAAATTCTGCCCTCGCAGACTGCAAGTTGCTATGGAGTTAAGTGTTTTGCTTTACTCTTTTTGAGACCTGATACCAATTAAGTCATTTAACTTACACTCAACATATATAATGACCTATCTTTTCTGGAGAATAGCTTCTATACCACAAAGTACATATTTCACAGTCTTGCAAGTGTATTTTCCACGTCACAACTGGGTTGTGACTTCAGAAAAGAGATGAGCTGACGTGGCAGTGGAGGGAGTGCTCCATCACTCTCCAGTAACTAACAGTCCATCCACCACACATGGAGAAGAAGTCCTGTGTGCACAAAACTGCTAAGAGTTTAGGGGAAGAGGATTAGGATAAGAATTCTTGACATCAAACCTCCTGGTAATTGGTCTCAAATCAAATTATTTTATAGCAAAATAGAAAACTCATATTCATAAAATATTACTAGTCCTAATAGAATTCTGGTATGGTACTATAGGGTCAGCACTGGACTGCTAACCACAAGGGTGGCAGTTCAAACTAATCCTTGGAAACCCAACACAGGATTGCTACGAGTCAAAACTGACTTAATGGCACTGAACTTGATGGACTTGTTGAAGGATTCTATGGGCAAAATTTAGAATGTGCCATCCATTTTGGTGGAGTTGGCAAAAAAGGGGGATGGCACAGTGGCAACAGGAATGGGCTCAAGGGTTATGACGATTGTTAAGATTAGTACAGAACAGAGCAGTGTTTGGTTCTGTTGTGTGTAGAGTAGCTATGGGCCAGAACCAGATGATGGTGTCTAACAACAACAGAAAAAATCAGTCCACTTGAATAATGGTGTGGGTGAAGAATATTGAAAGTACCATGAACTGTCAGTATAACAAACAAATCTGTCTTAGAAGAAGAACATCCAGAACACTCTTTGAAGCTAGAATGGTGAGACTTTGTCTCTTGTTCTTTGGACATGTTTTCAAGGGAGGATAAGTCCCTGGAGAAGGACACCATGCTTGGTAAAGAGGAGAATTAACAAAAAAGAAGATCCTCAACATGATGAATTGACACAGTGGTAGCAACAATGGGGTTACATGTAACAATTGTGAGGAGGAGCAGGACTGGGCAATGTTTTGTTCTGTTGCACATAGGGTTGCTGTGAGTTAGAACTGACTCACTGGCACCTAGCAACAACTACACTTCAATCTCACTATATTCTGTTTCCATAGTCAGTCTATATCCAAGTTCTAACTATGGGACTCAGATTTTCTTTACCTTCTCCATTCCCTTTGTCATATCCTTATTTCAATCCTAGATCAAAAATCTTTGAAAAGTTTCTCACTTAGCTTCGCTTCAGATGTAAGCACCTCAACAAAGGTCATCCAATCGCACCAAAAGGGTTTCTCTCCACTGCCTTGCTTGCTTGAGCTAACTAGCCTCTCTTAGAGCATTGTCAGACTTTCACGAGAAAACGTCTGCCTCAGCTGGGTTGCTGTAAGTGGGCCCTACTGCCTTTTAGCTCAGTCTGCTGTGCTTACATTCTGCAGGAAGGACAAGAGCAGGACAACTCTATCCTCCTAGAAATCCTATGACTATCTAATATGGAACTGCTGTTTGAATGAGACCCCAATCCCCCAGTTTCTCCCCCTTTCTTTAGCTCCTCTCACATAGCTTAAACTGAACAGATGACCCTCACACAACGCCAAAGACATCAAGAAGCATTCCTCAGGAGTCCAGTCAGGGTGTTAGTTACCTTGAGAAAAGATCTAGGGACATCTCCATTTAAAGAGTAAAGAATAGAAAAACATCAAGGAAAACAGTACTTATGTCAACACATTAGAACAGTCAAGTCAGGTAACATTAGAAGGTAGTCTCTAGATTTGACAACCAAGAGGGCAATTTGTTGGGGTGATGGAAAAAGTAAGACAATTGTGATGGAAAGCTCCAAGCCAGTGACTAAAAGAACACTTGGTTAGGTAAGGGTCTTTTAACACGAGATAAAGTTGACTTAGTGTATCTTTCTAGGCTGAGAAAACACTGAATATACAAGAAAGGCAATGACTGGATGCAGCAGCCCAACAGAGGAAACAAACTCTTACAGCAAGGATCAATCCCACCCCCTCCATACACAGAGGAGACAGAGATGGACAACTTTGGGGAGGGGGGGGGGGCGAGACTACAAAGGCAAGAGGTGACTGGCTTACAAGCTTTTAAGAGAAAGCCTAGATCCAGAGGGTGTGGAGGAAAGTAGAATCTCCAATTTGTAGTATCCAATCTGTCTGGGTGGGGCTGATGAAAGGAGATGCGGATAGCACCCATGTGGTACAATAGTGAATTTAATTGCTATCAGGACGGACTGTGAGGTTTGGAAATGTAAAGGTAGACAGTTTGTAGCAAAAGGGGGGGAGTGGTTGACTTTGCAGTCCAGGAACCGGGTTCCCTAGGACCATCAAGGGAGAAAAGCGGAGTAGGACCTTACCCAGAGAAACAGTGACGCCACAGATGGAGGCAGAGAATGATGTGGAGAGATGGAGTGGCTGGGAACTCTAGACCCAGAGAGGACGAGGGAGAGGGACTGTGTGCTGATGACCAGGGAGCAGACTTGCAGGGTGTACCCTTTGGTTGGTTGATGATGCATGGAGGGGGTTGTAACCATGGCAATGAAAGGACGAATGTAAAGCTCATGTTCTCCCATGTAAACTATCACATAATTCACAATGAAAGTTAAAAAAAAAAAAAAAAAGATGGTGAGTCACTGAGACAAGATAACTGAGGAAATGGAAACAAGCTCCAAATCACATGCAAGTCCTTCTGTAAACTGCTGTAAATTAGTGAATGTATAACCTACACCTTACTTCCAGAACTTTTACTATATATTTTATGGTAGAATATTTAATACTTATGTTGTTAATCTCACCATTTTTATAGAATAAAAACAAATGAAACTTACTGACCTTAAGGCGATTCCGACTCATAGGGACCCATATAGGATTTCTGAGTCTGTAAATCTTTATGGGAACAGAAAGCTTCATCTTCTCTTGTACAGCAGCTGGTGGATTTGAACTGTTAGCCTTGTAGTTAGCAGTCCAGTGCTTATCTTACAGCACCACCAGGAGCAAATAGCAATGTGCAGTATTCAGTGTTAAAAAACCTGCATGGGCTCTACATACAGGCTCTAGTGTCCTGATCTGAAAAATGGGTTACCATATTAGCATAATATTATAATATTGCACAGAGGTGATGTTGGCTAACATAGTGTCTGCCATCATTAACCAGAAAATGCCGTAGAATAAACTTGCAGTTACCTCATACGTTATCCCATGAGACTGCTCATGGTGGCAGACACTACTGGCTAGTCAACAGAGTAACAGAATAATCTGTAACAGATAGACTTCCCCCTGAAATCATTAAAAGGCTTTTATACCCCAATGACACCAATTCCTCCACCACTGCAACTCTGCAGGTACATCTGTTTCTTGGTTTTCAAATCCAAAAGGATCAGTTGATTCCCAGCTATGTACATCACGGTATTGTTGTCCAGAAGTTGAAGATTGGCTCGCTTTCTACAGTCATAACCAAAGGAATGGCTGAGGAAAAGTTGTTAAGGAAAAACAGTGCAACAACATGATCATTTTGGGAACAGGAAAAGCAGTGAAATCCATAAAGGGAAATTAAGTCCTGACACATGCTACAACATGGATGAACACTGAAAACATTATGCTGAATAAAATCTGACACATAAGGACAAATACTATTTGTCACAAAAGGGTTTTTATGAAATCTCTAGAACTGGAAAATGGATGGTGGCTATCTGGGATGAGAAGAAGGAGGAAAAGGGAAATCAGGGTTAGGGAGCACTGAGTTTCTACAAAGGTGAGGAAATAATTTGGAAACAGATAGTGGTGATGGCTACACAATATGATAAACAGAATCAATGTCACTGATTTGCACATGTAAAATATGTTGCATTAATAAATGTTTCATATGTGTATATGTGTATATATAGTGCACTGGAAAAATCTGCAAAATAATTCTTTAAAGTGTTACAAAGCAAAGATGCCATTTTGAAGACTAAAGTGTATCTGACACAAGCCATGGTATTTTCAATCACCTCATAAATGAGTGGCCGGAAAATGAATAACGAAGACTGAAGAAAAAAAAATGCATGCCTTTGAATTATGATGTTGGTAAGGAATACTGAATATACCATTAAGTACAAGAACAAAAAACAAACCTGTGTTGAAAGAAGTATATCAAGGATGCTAAGACTTCACTTCCTGTTATTTGGACATGCTATCAGGAGGGAGCAGACCTAGAGCAGGACACCATGATTGGTACGGTAGAGAGACAATGAAAAAGAGGAAGACACTCAATGAGGTGAGCTGACGGTAGCTGCAACAATGACCTCAAACAATTGTGAGGATGGTCCAGGACTGGGCAGTGTTTCATTCTGTTGAACAAAGGGTCACCAAGAGTCAGTAATGACTTGATGATACCTAACAATATATATCACAATAAAAAAATTTTAATTCCATATTCTTAGATATGGAATTGAAGAAGTTAAATTTTATCCCAAAACTCAGATTTTTTTCTAACATATTACAAACATAATTTTGTTTTTAAATTATGTGAAAATCCTCATGCTCTAATTTAGTACTATTTTCATTTTCCTGGGGGAAGTAGCTACCGAGATCATTTTATTTTCCTCTCTCCCATTTAAACAAAGTCACATCATACGATATGGGAGAAAGGCCATGTCTTTACCATCTTTGTGTTCACAATGAATGATAGTGTAGCCATATAGTAAATGTTTGACTGAACAAAGAAAAAGTACTACACAGGCCTCTTACTTAATGCTAAAAGACAAGATTTTAAATTCTAACAAATCACTGATAATGTAATTATTGTAATAAATTCACATGAACATACTTAAAGTTCAATTCATATAGATTATGAAAGTTTACATATATCATATATACATAATATAGAAAATGTAGTATTATAAATATATATGCAATAAATAGGCTAGCTCCTTTTTGAGCTCACTCATGTGTTTATAGGTGTTATATTTGTGTATCTTTGGGCTATAGAGTAAAACTTCACTAATTCAATATGAAATGATGCTGGAGAACGCATGATAGAATTCTGCAAAACCAATGATTTTTTTTATTTCAAATACCTTCTTTAGACAGCATAACAGATGACTATACACATGGACCTCACCCGATGGAACACATAGAAATCAAATTGACTACATCTGTGGAAAGAGAAGATGGAAAAGCTCCATATCATCAGT